GAGGCAGGTGGCTCCTGAGGGGCTCCACAGAAGTTAGTGGAAAGACGCTTACAGCCACCGTCTCTGGGTCCAGGGGTTTTGTCTTACACACTTTTTGTCTGAACATGGCGAGGAGCTAAAGCAGCTTCCACTGCCAAGAGCGGTAGCTCAGTGAAAATCAGACTCAGCCAGAGCTCTGGTGCTTGCCTGAGTCTGGGTCATATCTCAGGAGGAACCAGGGATGTGTCCTGGCATGTCATATAGTCACCAACACGAAAGCCACTGCTCGGGGTGCAGGTGAGGAGATGCCCCCGGGGACACACAGGTGGGGAGTGGCCATATCAGCACAGGGTGCAGGTGAGCAGATGCCCCTGGGGATGCACAGGTGGGGAGCAGCTGCATCAGCACAGGGTGCAGGTGAGCCTGAGACACACTTGGTGATGCACAGGTGGGGAGCAGCCACATCAGCACAGAGTGCATGTGAGACTGAGACACCCCCAGGGATGCACAGGTGGGTATTGAGTCAGCACAGGGTGCAGGTGAGCCTGAGATACACCCGGGAATGCACAGGTGGTGGGCAGATGAGTCAGCACAGACCGGGAGAGGGAGTCTGCAGGCGCAGATGGGTGAGTGTGGGCATCCACTAGTGTAAATGCTGCCCCTCCATTCATCAGAAGTCACCCCTGTGTCAACCCCACCTGCCTTCCTCAGTCCAAGGTGAATAGCTGAAATGGAGGGAAGTTCACCCTCCTGACCAGGAGCCTGACACCACCCAGCCACACTGGAAGGTGTCAGCAAAGTGGTGGCAGCCTCCTTGGGATGCTTTAGTTTGCATCCAGGCCCCAAACGAGTCCCTTCTGTGATGAGCATGAGCCCAGTATTCCCACAATGACCCTGTGCAGGACAGGGCCTGAGAACAGGGCTAGGTTCCTCCAGCCATGAGGATGATGCCCTGCAGGGGACCCAAACACCCAAAACAGGGAGGGTCAAAGTCATAGACTCTGTGCTTTTAGCGATGATGCTCTCCACACACCTAAGGGTCCAGGGCCTTGGGTCCAGGTCCAGGGCCCTGGTCCATGCTCCCAGAGGAGGGACACAGCCCCTGCATGAACCCCTGATCCTCCGTCAGTTCTCTGCGTGATGGGTCTTCATGTGACAATGTCCCTCATTCCCTAGTGCCCCCAGGCCCACTGAAGACTGGGCATGAGCAGCAGATGACCTTGGGGTGAGGGGAGATCTCCTTCCTCTGAGCCTCAGGAGAGGTAGTCCCAGAGACTGGAACGAGCAGTTGGAGGGAAGGCAACCTCACTCGGAGCTGCTCAGTGGAGCTGGGCCTGGGGCTTACTGGACCCAGTGAGCATCCAGGACCTCTCAGACCACATACATCCTAGACCCTGGGCTGGCATGGATGGGGCCATCATGTCCTTCCTCATCCATCGTGCCCTTGGAGGCTGCTGAGCCCTGATGACTGATTGATGCCTGTTTGGATATAATCAGAACTGGCCAGGCACAGTGGCTCACTGCAATCTCAGCACTCTGGAAGATTGTGGCAGGAGGACTGCTTGAGGCCAGCAATTCAAGACCACTCTGGGCAACATAGTGAGATTCCATCTCTCCAAAAATAAACATAATTTAAAAAGTAGTAGGCATGGTGCCATGTGCCTGTAGTCTCAGCTACAAGCAAGAGAATCACTTGAGCACAGGAGTTCAAGGCTGCAGTGAGCCATGATCTCACCACTGCACTCCAGCCTGGGCAACAGAACAAGACCTCATCTCTGCAAGAAGAGAAGGCCATGTGCAGATGGAGGCGGTGGCTGGAGTGACACAGCGGTAAGCGAATGAATGACAATTGCTGGCAAGAAGCAGAAGCTGAGAGGCAGGGAACAGGCCTCCTCTGGAGCCTCAGGAGTCAGCCCTTTGTGCCCCTCAAATGTGGGCTTCTGGCCTCCGGGGCTGGGACACCATGCGTTTCTGTCATCGTAAGCAACCCAGTCCCTGGCAGTTAGTTACAGATGCCCCAGGATGCTCAAGCAGCCATCTGACAAGGGCAAACTCCAAGGAAGGGATTCCCTCCTTATCTATGTTGTTTGAAGATTTTACAATAATTTACTCTTGTATGGCTAATTATTGTTAACCAACACGAATAAAATAGTAAAGAAATGACCTACATCTTCAGTTGGGAGTTTGGTCGGCAGCTTATGAAGTGTGGAATCTTGAACAAGGGTTAAACATCTGAACATCTCCATCACATCATCTGTAAAGTGGGGATGCTCACACCCACGGATCTTACCTCCCAGGTTGGCGCTGAACTCTCCCTGGGCCCCTGTTCTCTCACCAGCCACATCCACTCTTCCCCCAAAATGGCACTAGTGACTCTGATGGCTTTCCATTCCCACCACGTTTGTCTTTAACCCCAGCAGCATAACGATGTCAGCAGAACACAACTGAGTGTTCCTCTCCTCATGCCCCTTCAGGGGTTCCTCACCACCCACCAGATCAGGTGCAAGTTTCCAAGCCTTGCTGGATACCCTCCACATTCTGAGCTCCACCTGCCTTCCCATCCCCAGCCTTCCCCACTCCTGGTGGAAAAGAGCTAGGTGTGTGGGTGGTTTAATGCTGAGCACGGCCTTTTGCAGCCAGTCCACTCCTTACGCTGTCCCTATCAGGGTCTCCACCCTAAACCTTTCCACCCTGGAGCCTCCTCCCAGGGCCCCACAACAGAAGTGACTTCCCTGTCCTTTGAATTCTTATAGCACAAGGCCTGCTATCCCCCATTAAACTGCAAACTCCTTTTGTAGGAAAAAAATTTATTCGTTATTGTGCTATCACACTATCTTATGAAGAACAAATTGTCAATAAATATTTGCTGAATAAAAAAAATAACAGTTACAAAACGCTTGTTTTATATGGATTAATACTGGTTCTAAAACTGAGAAATTACCAACAGCACTGATATTCAGCCAGTACGCACAAGTCTGGGCACAGCAGTTGTAAAATACTGAAGTATCCACTGCCACTGACCCTTAGCATCCAGATGCCCCCCACTGCCACTTCCCTCCTCCCTGGAGTGTCTGGACCTCCCACAGGCTCCTAACTAAAGGGCTGACCACAGCCGGGAGCACCCAAGACCCAGCAGCCACGTGGCCAGGTCCACTGGTGAAAGCATCCATCCTGACTGATCAGATCCTGCAGGGTTTCAGTGTTAAATATTTTGATAATATCCCTGAATATAAATAAGGCTCAATTATATAGTTGGAAAATGATGTTTCTCCTCATTGCAAAATCTCTTAGAAGACTCCGTAGATACAGGACAGAAGTGGAAAATGATAGTGTGTCCATCTCTGAAGGTTTCAGGCATATTCATTAGCTCTCTGTCTTCATGTAAACCAGAAGATAGGCAGTTTCTTGCCAAAGAGATGAGAAGACACATCAGCACAACAGCATAAAACCTTCATCAGAAAAGGATGCCTCATTAATCCATGACATGACAAGTCAGCAAACATCCAGGCAGCTGGATCACCTTTGTCTATCCATCACCTCGGATAAGAAAAAAATATATGGCCTGGGAAGATAAGCACTAAGTTTCTGTTGGTTAATATCTAAAGCAGAGGCTAACAAGCTCCAGGCACACAAGCCAAATTCAACCCTGTCAGGGTTTTTAAATAAACTTTCAACTTTTATGTCAGATTCAGCGGGAACATGTACAGGTTTGTCACAGGTGTGTGAGCATAGTACACAACAGTTAGTTTTTTGCCCCTCCCCCTCTTTCCCGTCCATCAGTTTCCAGTGTCTATTGCTGCCATCTTTAAGTCAATGAGTGCCCAGTGTCTAGCTCCCATTTGTGAGAATGTGCATTCTCTGATGAGACCGGTTCTTGCCCTGTCACCAGACGAGTGCACTGGCACAATAATAGCTCACTGCAGCCTCATACTCCTAGGTTCAAGTGATCCTCCTGCCTCAGCTTTAGCTTCCTGAGTAGCTGAGACTCCAGGTGTGTACCACCATGCTTACAACTTTTACTTTTTTTTTTGTAGAGATGGGTTTTGCTTTGTTGCCCAGGCTGGTCTTGACCTCCTGGCTTAAAGTGATTCTCCCCCCTCAGCCTCCCAAAGTACTGAAATTAAAAGCATGAGCCCATATCCAGCCTCCAAGCCCCTTCTCAGAAATAAATTTAACTGGACCCCAGCCATGCTCATTCGCCCATGTACTGTCTATGGCTGCTTTTACTCCACAGGGCAGAGTTAAGTGGCTGCAACAGACACTGTACAGACCACAAAGCCTGAAGTACTTTCTCTTCAGCCCTTTATAGAGGAAGGCTGCCAACCTCTGATCTCAATAACAGGGAAATCAATGGCAGTCACTAAGTGGCAGAGATTGAGTGTCTAAGAGGATGCTCAGGATAAACAGGAGAGAAAGATGAAAAGTAGAATGAAGATTTCAAATGTGAGCTTCACCTAACCCATTATTTTTCAAATGACCAGGCCTATCTCTGTAGCTGAAAATCACCTCAAAAATGGCGTTTCCGATATACAACCTAAAAGCTCAGCTAAGAAAACTTACAAAATCTCTCTGCTTAAACTTCATCCAGTCTTTTTCTCTCCAGTTTCTCCTCTGTGGTCATTGGTTATAAACATATTGACACTTACTAATGCAAGCCAGACAAAGAAATCTGAAAAGTCATCCTTCCCTCAAAAGAGTTCAAAGTCTAATGTTATAAAAAGTTATGTAAGCAAACAATTTTAAAAACCAGTGGCTGGGCATGGTGGCTCATGCTTGCAATCCAAGCACTTTGGGAGGCTGAAATGGGCAGATGGCCCAGGATTTTGAGACCAGTCTGGCAATATAGCAAGACTTCATCTCTACAAACATTTTTTTAAAATATGCCAGGTGTAGTGGTGCATGCCTGTAGTCCCAGCTATTCAAAAGGCTGAGGTGGCAGGCTTGCCTGTGCTCAGGAGTTCAAAGCTGAAGTGAGCTATGAACACACCACAGTGCTCCAGCCTGGGCAACAGATCCCCATCTCTAAAAATTACATTTACAAAAACAATTGTGATCTTTGCTTTAATATTCCTAGCGTGTGATATGTGAGGCAAGCAGGGGAGTGGGGTGAGTGCCGAAGATGAGGTGGACAGTTAGTCATCAGTATGTCAGTAACAGGGGAATCCATGGACATTTCATGCAGCTCCAAGGACCCTATATGAGCTAATTGGGCTCCCATTATTCAAATATGTTTCTTACCAGTGGTAGTTAGGATTTTCATAGGTACACCAGATGTCTTCCCAAGACACCTGGAAGCCAGAAACAAATGGGGTCAAGCAGCCACCAGCTGATACTTGTGAGCACCCACAGAGGACAGAGAGCTATAATGTGCCCCCCATCCTCCAGACAAGCCCACCTCTTCCAACTCCCTAGAGCCTGGAGTATCAGTGGCAGGATGTCATGTGCAATGAAGTTTTTTAGCACCTTTGTCCCTGTGCTTAAACTCAGTCATGCTTATCCCAGAGGCCTAACTTACACGTTTCTAACTCTACTTGCTCTGTAAACATTTCCCACAAAGCATGAAGCCACAAGGCATGAGCCTCAAGCACCAAAAACTTAAGAAGTGAAGGGAAGTGAGGAGAGGTGCAAACCACGTGGGGACTTCAGGCTGAAAAAGGCTTTAACTCTCATAAACAACACCACACCCAGACAGCGAGATCACGGTGTGTTGATCTCAGAGATCCACGCAGTCTGGATCCCAGCATTTGTTAGAGGTGGCCAATCCCAGGCAGGAAGCAACTGTGGATGATGATTCTCACTGAGGCAATATTGGAGTCATTGAAGCAGAACCATTTTCCGTCCACGGCATTCCGGATGTAGGCACAGTAATGACTGGAGTCCACCATTCCCACATGTGTAATTACAGTGAAGAGCTCATACTGCCCTCCAGGCTGGAAAGAGACAGGCATGAGACAGTTCACTTGCCACCACAAATATAACTGCATCACACATTTATACCTGCCCACCCCAGAGCCCTGATTATGGAACTTCAGAATACTAGACAACAGTCCCACCCCATGGCCCACATGCATCCTCTGGTAGGGGCTTTCCTGAGCATGGATCCTGAACTGCAAAGGCTCAGCAGCTTGACAGAGCAGAGCACACTGGAGATGGAAGGCAGGAGGTCATGAGACAGCCCCCAAAGCCAGGCAAGATTAGAACCTTCCCCTGGGAGGGGTGGGGGTCATCAGAACATAGTTCTGTTTCTCCACAAGCTCAGGAATGCCCTAACCTGAGCCAATGTTCACAGCCAAAAGTGTCCTTTGTAGGGGGAGGGAAGACAGAAGGCAAGGGTGGCACATGCAAAGCTGAGTCACCCACACTGCAGGCTCCAGTTATTCCCTACTTCTATTTGCGGACCTTGTGTGGGACTTCATAAAATGCAGGGCAATATCTGTACCTAACCATTAGTTTACAAGGAATAAAAGGGTTAGAGAAACATGCTGAATGACACCAGCCAGCCAGTTCTAGCATATTAAAAAAATCTTCAACCAAATCAACTGCAAGGAAAATAAAGGCAACAGAAATCTAAAAGGAACTTAAGAAAAGAGAGAAACTTAACCAAATGCAAGTGTAGGCATTGCTTGGATCTAGATCCAAAAAAACTACATAGATTAAAGAACAGTAGAGAAGTCTGCATGTTTACCAGTTATTTGATGCTATCGAGGAATGACAAGATGGAGCTGGTTATGTTTTGAGTGCTTATTCTTTAGGGATGCATAACGAAGTGTTTACCAATGACGTAGGATGGTGTCTGAGATTTTCTTCAAAAAAATCCAGTACAGGATTGGATGAAACAAGATTCCAGAAGATTTATAGGAAGAGCAAGACCTGCCATGAGTTTTGTAATGGTTACAGCTGATGATTCACTGTCTAATTCTTCACTATACACCTTGGTATATATTTGCAATGTTCCGTAACAAAGTCTTTGTTGTTGTTGCAAAGACAGAGTCTCGCATTGTCCAGCTGGGCTAAACTATTGGACTCAAGCAATCCTTTTAGCCTCTCAAAGAGCTAGGATTACAGGCGTGACCCATGGCACTCAGCCAAGAGAGTCCTTTTTAAGGAAAAAAAAAAACAGTTTTAAATATACTTCATCAGGCAGAATGTGCAGGTAGAAATATAAAGAATTAGAAGGCTGTCTCTGAAAAAGAACATCCTATGAAATGTACACAGCCTAAGTAGGTAAAGAAACCATGTTATAATGGGAGCCATCTCAGGCCTTACTTTTCTAAATGCCATGGTTCTAGAGAAAAATTAGCCAAACAGACTATAAAAACAGAAGAGACACTCCAAAAGTAGACCCGCACATATAGGAATACAAATTTTGCTGTGTAGCATGTCAAATCTATGAAGAAAAGGTATCTGCATCTTTTTTTCTTTCATTTTTCCTGTTTTATTTTTAGAGACAGGATCTTGTGCTGTCACCCAGGCTGGAGTACAGTGACAGATCATCACTCACTGCAGCCTCAAACCCTGGGATCAATTTTCCTACCTAGGCCTCCAATGTAGCTGGGACTACAGAGGTTTGCTACCACACCCAGCTATTTTTTTTTTTTTTTTTTGAGATGGAGTCTCACTCTGTAGTTCAGGCTGGAGTGCAATGGTGTGATCTTGGCTCACTGCCACCTCCACCTCTGAGGTCCTGGTTCAAGCAATTCTCCTACCTCAGCCTCCCAAGTAGCTGGAATTACAGGCATGAGCCACCATGCCCAGCTAAATTTTGTATTTTTTAGTAGAGATGGGGTTTCACCATGTTGGCCAGTCTCTTCTTCAACTTCTGACCTCATGATCTGCCTGCCTCTGCCTCCCAAAGTACTCAGATTTCAGAGATGTGGGTCTCACTATGTTGCCCAGGCAGGTCTTGAACTCCTGGGCTCAAGTGATCCTCCTGCCTCAGCATTTTCAAGTGCTGGGATTACAGGCATGAGCCACATCAACTGGCCTGTGTCATTTTTTCTCAGAATCTCTCAATAGGTTGTCTCAGGACAAGTGATTTAAACTTTACTCTGATTAAATGTGGTCCAGTCAACTGGCTACTTTATGATTATCATCAAAGCAGGCACGGGCCATTTGAGAAAGAAAGTTTGGTTGGTACTAAGAACCCACAGTGACATGTTTGCCTATGCATTTCTATGTATTCCACATGTTATTTCCAAAGGAGCCTATTGAATTCTGGATTCTGTCCCTCAGTGCTGTGAGGCATATGAACACAAATCCAATATTTAGAAAGAAGAAAGTCAGGCAGGATGGCACGGTCGGAAGCATCCCACCTGCTCCTCAGCATCACAGAGCTCTCACTCCACTGGAAGCACCTGGATGAAATCCAGGCTCTGGGGGAAGTACAGGGCGTGGCAGATCTTTCTCACCTGTGAATTCCTGATGGGGAATGGCATGAGGTGGATTGTCAGGGTCTGAGGCAAATGGGTCAGCTTCAAGACCTGAAAAAGCAAAATCACTCTGGATATAAAGTCCAAAGTCCACTTGGAATGGGAGTAAACGAAATGTCTGGACTAATGGTACCCTCTTCCAAAAAAAGAGGGAAGCAGGGTGACATCACAGAGTTCAAGGCTCTCGTTCACTGAATCTGCTGAGCTACTCTGAGAATAATGCAAAATGTGGGTATTCTACCACCACCGGGTCCCCACAAGAGGCACAAGGGCACAGGGCTCTGCACAGGCATCAGGACCCAGGGAGCCATGGTGTCTGCTCCAAGGAGCTCAGCTCACCCAAAGGGAAATGCCCTGCTGGCTGCTCTCAGGCCTTCTCCTCTGGTCCCTCTCAGTTATGTGACCTGAGAAGCCACATCCATGGCTCTAGAGATCAGAACTCCACGATCCCAGATCCTAGCCAGACCCAGATTCCCATTCTCACCCACCACAAAGTCCCCTCGGGGCCTCTGATGATTCTATCAGGAAATCCACAAAAGGAAACCCCAGACTAGTGAAGGACAGTTGATCCCTGAACAGCACAGGTTGTGTGGGTCCACTTAATACACAAATTGTTTTAAATAAATACAGTCTTCCCTCCGCCATAAGCATGAGTTCCACATCTGCAACCAAACACTCATTAAAAATACAGTATCCCAGATGCACAACCGCATAGATGAGGGACGGACTTTTCCTATATGTGGGTTCTGCAGGGCCGACTGGGGACTTGAGTATGTGCAGATTTTAGTAAATTCAGGGGTCCAGAACCAATCCCCTGTGTGCACCGAGGGACAGCTGAGTCCAGTTTAGGGAATGAGTACCTGTTTCCCATGTGTCTTCTTCCTGCAGTTCTCACAGAAGCACTTACTTTTGCTTGAAAACTCCCTGGGCTGGAAGAAGCAGTGCAGGGCGTCCTCCTGCCCCACCCAAGAGAAAAGGGAAAAGGCAGCATTGGCATTTCCCACCTAGAGTACTGTATTCATCTGTTCTCACACCGCTGTCAGAAAATAGCTGAGACTGCATAATTTATAAGAAAAGAGGTTTCGTTTCATTGGCTCATGGTTCTGCAGGCTGACAGGAAGCATGGTGGCATCTGTTTCTGGGGAGGGCACAGAGAACTCCCAATCATGGCAGAAGGCCAAATGATAGGCATCTTACATAGGAGGGGCAGGTGCAAGAGAGCAAGTGGGGAGCTGGAATGAAGTGGCATGATCTTGGCTCACTGCAACCTCCGCCTCCCAGTTTGAAGCGATTCTCCTGACTCAACCTTCTGAATAGCTGGGATTACAGTCTGCACCATCATGCTAAATTTTTGTTTTAGTAGAGATAGGATTTTATCATTTTGGCCAGGCTGGTTTTGAACTGCTGACCTCAGGTGATCCACTCACCTTGGCCTTCCAAATTGCTGGGATTACAGGTGAGCTATGGCACACTTTGCCTGGCTGCATACTTTTAAACAACGAGATCTCATGAGAAATCACTCGCTGTCACAGAGACAGTACCATGGGGGATGGTGGCAAACCATTCATGAGAAACCCTCCCCCATGATCCATCCCATCTCCTCCCACCAGACCCTACTGCCAACATTGGGGATTACAACTGAACACGAGATTTTTGGGCAGGGACACAGACCAACAGTGTATCAGGGATGGCCTTCCCACACTTTGCAGCTGAGGGTTTCAGCTTTTCTTCTGGTTCTCTTCATATCCCCCTTAATGCCTGGCCTGGTGTGGTCCACTGGCAGGATCTCAAAGGTCACCTACTGACTGGAGGAATGAAACGGGAGGGGGTTCCTGTTACGGAACCAGTATGAGGAAAAAAGAGGTCGGAGGGAAAAAGATTTTTGCCAAAACAAAGGAGAACTCAGCCAGAATCATGAAAATGAAATAAGAAACTTCTCAGAAGCCAGGGCTAGATCCAAGAGGCAAGGGGGAATTGGCAACACTGTGCTGGGTGGTGATGTGGCTTGAGTGTTTGTCCTCCCCAAAAGGTTGAAACCGACTCCCCAGTGTGGCTGTATGAAAGGTGGGGTCTTTTAGAGATGATTGGGGAGGGCATCATGGTGGCTCATGCCTGTAACCCCAGCGCTTTGGGAGGCTGAGGCAGGCAGATCACTTAAGTCAGGAGTTTGAGACCAGTCTAGCCAACATGATAAAACCCTATCATGTTGGTATCATAGTGACACCTATCATGGGGAAACCCCAGCCCTTCTAAAAATACAAAACTTAGCAGGGTGTGGTGGCGGCACTGGTAATCCCAGGTACTCAGGAGGCCAAGGCAGAAGAATCACTTGAATATGGGAGATAGAGATTACAGGGAGCCAAGATCGCATCATACCACTCCAGCCTGGGTGACAGAGGAAGACTCTGTCTTCAGAGAAAGGGGGGTGGTCATTGAATCATGAGGGCACAGCCCACATGAATGAATTAATCCACTCATGGATTAATGGGTTTTCCTGGGAGTGGGACAGGTGGCTTCACAGGAAGAGGAAGAGAGACTTGAGCTGGCACATAAGCATGCTTGCTCCCTTGCCATGTGATGCCCTGCACTGACTTGCCTTGAGACTCAGAGTCCTCACCAGCAAGCAGGCCCTCACTAGGTGAAGCCCCTCTACCTTGACTTCCCAGCCTCCAGAACTGTAAGAAATACATTACCTACTCTCAGATATTGTGTTGTGTCAACAGAAAATGGACTAACATGTATGGGAGCAGCAAATACCAAGAGACTCTCCTTACCAATGTCTTCAGGGGCTTTGAGTCCACATTGAAAACAAAACTAGGAGGGTCAGCATGCTGCTGTTTCTCCTACTCTCCATGGCACAGTCAAGGTAAATCAAGGAGTCCTTCATCCAGATCACATATAGGGCCTGCAGCCTCCCCATCTGCAGGAGGTAGCAGCGGAGAGGTGAGATGGAAACACCACCATAAGCCAGGTCAGGCCAACTGCCAGAAGTTGGAGCCAAGAGACAGAATCTCCAGAAATGGTAACCACTAATGCTCTTTGTCCCACTCATGAGTTAAATCATCAGCATCTTACACTTTCAAGTGCTCTTACCAAGTAGTGCACATCAGTCCTCTGGTCCTTAATTAGGTTCCAGATTTTGAGGTAGAGTTGGGCAGCACCATGCTGGACAAATACTGGCAAAAGAGAAAAGGAACAGCCAATTAGTGAGGTCCTCAGGGTCACTTCTCATGCCCTGGTACCTAGATGCACACAAACACTCACCACTTTGTCTCTTCCTGGCCTCCCGCCCCACTGAAAGGCTAAGTTGGCACTACATATGAAGTGATCAATAAACAAACAGTAAGTTTGGTATTGATTTTAGAGAACACCTTTTTTTTTTTGAGAGTCTCACTCTGTCCAGGCTGGAGTACAGTGGCACAATCTCAGCTTGCTGCAAACTTCTCCCCCGGGTTCAAGTGATTCTCCTTTCTCAGCCACCTGAGTAGCTGAGATTACAGGTGCCTGTCACCATGCCTGGCAAATTTTGTGTTTTTAGTAGAGACGGGGTTTCAACATCTTGGCCAGGCTGGTCTTGAACTCCTGACCTCTTGATCCACCCCCACCCCTGTCAGCCTCCCAAAGTGCTGGGATTACAGGCATGAGCCACCATGCCTGGCCGAGAACACTTCTTAAAACTTAAGCTCCAGTGCCAGGTGTAGTGGCTCATACCTATAATCCCAGCACTTTGGTAGGCCAAGGTGGGAGAATCGCTTGAACCCAGGAGTTTGAGACCAGCCTGGGCAACATAAGACTCCGTCTCTATAACAAATTTAAAAAATTCATTGAGCGTGGTGGTGCACACCTGTAGTCGGAGCTACTTGGGAGGCTGAGGCAGAGGCAGGAGGATCACTTGAGCCCAGGCTGTTGAGGCTACAGTGAGCTGTGCTTACACCACTGCACTCGGCCTGGGGAATGAGATGTTCACAGGGGACTTTGAACAGCACTGATGTATTCCTGAGGATCTAGAAGGCCACGCACATGCCCAAGATCTAAGAGGGCTGAATTCTTCCCCTCTGGCTGATCACAAGGCCATGTACAAGAAAGCAATGACAGTGAACACAGAAATTATAAACTGTGTGCACTTTGAAATTGTGCCCTAACAAACACACAGAGCCCCTTCACAAATATTGGAAGACTCACCGATTCAGGCATTTAAGGAAATCTCTGACCGCTTATTATCTGAACAGTAAGATAAAAGGGAGAGGTCAGTGGCCAGGCAATACATGGAATATAGACATCACAGAATTAGCTCAGGAAGTTGTCACTGAACAATGATCAACAACAAGAACAATAACAACAAAACAGCAACAACAACAAACCCTGGTGTGGGGGTCTCTGGTGTCCAGTGTTGCCACCTTACGTTATCTATAATGTTCATTTTCCAACAGAGAGACAAGACATACAATGGAAACAGAAAAGTGTGGCCACACACAGGAAAACAGCAGTCAGTAGAACTTTTCACCTAGAAGCCCTAGGTGCTGGCCTTACTAAACAAAGACTTTAGCTGTTATAATATGTTCAAAGAACTAAGAAAAACCATGTCAAAAGAAGTAAAAGTAAGAAAATGCTGTCTCGCCAAACGAAGAGTATCAATAAAGAAAAAAACCATAGAAAAAGAACCAAGCAGAAATTCTTGAGTTGAGGAGTACCATAATGGAAATGAAAAATTTACCAGAGGAAGTCAACAGCAGATTAGAGCTGGTAAAAGAAAGAATCCATAGACTTGGAAATTGGTTGAGTGTGGTTATCCAGACTGAAGATGGAAGGAAAACTGAACGTAGTGTCCATGCAGCCAAAAAGCTGGTTAGCTGCTCACCACAAGTAGAATTCAACTAACTCTGATACAAAAACAAGTGTAATACAAAAGAAGGTTTTATACAAAAACATGAATTTATTCTGAAGCCAGCTTGGGGACAGAGTATGATGTATCCTGCCTTTTTCATGTGCCATTTCTCCTTTGGAGGAGAAAGGGGCATTTTCATAAGGTGTGTTGTGGGGGTAGGGGGAGTGAGCAATGGTAGTTGTCTCCCAGGCAGTTACCTTGTACCTGGAAGCTGAGTTGCCACCTTTCTGGGCAGAAGTAAGCTGTCAAAGTGGCCAAGTGAGTGTGCTTTCTCCATGTGTTCCTAGTGGGTGAAAGGCTAACCCCTGAAGGGGTTTCAAAACCACCCCATGGCAGGGAGAGCTCCCTGGTGGGTATGCTTTGGGCTGCAAATCTACTGCCAAGTCTCAGGAAAGATGAGCTGAAAGAACGTGCCCTGTTCTCAATCAAACCTCAATCAACCTATCTCTAAGTTTACAGATTCATTATTTTTCCCTGCAGGGACTGTCTGGTGAGGGAGAGGTAAGGGTGATTTTTGCATTTCTAAAGGGCTAACAGAAAAGGGGGAAACATGGGGGTTGGGGGTTGGGAGGGAAGGGGAGAAGTGAAAAGGAAATAACATAAGAAAAATAAACTATCTCTAAGAAAATGGGAGTACTCAGTTATACCCAGATGGGTTCCCTAGTGAATGATGGGTTCTACCAAACATTTATGGGAAAATTATACCAATTCCCTACAATCTCTTCCAGCCAGAAGACAAAAGCAGAGAGAACACTTACTAATTCTCTGAGGCCAGCATTATCCTAATACCAAGACCAGACAGACATTTTAAGAAAAAAACCTAGAAACCAGTATCTCTCGTGAACATAAATGCAAAATTCCTCAACAAAATATTAGTGAATCAAATTCAATAAAAAGAATCACAGAGTGACATAAGTGAGATGATAGAAAAGGGGGATCCTGGTGCTCTCCTCTCCCGTGGACACTTGGAAAAACTCCCATCTACACACAGATCAACTTCTGAAAGAAAGAAACCCAGAAACTAGCTGAGAGAGTCCTGCACATGGGACAATGGAGAAAACATCCACATCAAAATGGGTTGAAAAAGCTCAGACACACTCACACCGCAAGCCCCACCTTAGACCCAGTACCTTGCTT